GAGAGAGAGAGAGAGACATCACATGCCCAAGAAGCAATTTAGATTGGATCACATTGTCCAATCATTTTGAGCCCTAAGTATGCTTTAAAGCTGTGTATTGATATATGCTTTTGGTTGTATGAAACTAAAGTTCTTTTATCTCTGTTGCTACGACAAGCATATACTTAACCTATTATAGCAATGGCCAGGTGCAAATGACGTATCTATGATCCAAATGGCTGATGTGGGCATTGGCATCAGTGGCCAAGAGGGACGTCAAGCTGTTATGGCTTCGGATTTTGCCATGGGGCAGTTCAGATTCTTGGTGCCCCTATTATTGGTCCATGGCCATTGGAACTATCAGCGAATGGGCTACATGATCCTCTATAACTTTTACAGAAATGCAGTGTTTGTCTTCATCCTCTTTTGGTGAGTTCTTTTCTGATATTCAATTGAAAAGCATTTCAAATTCATGAAAAGCATGTTGAGCTCAGTTAAAAAGAGCTGAGGCCCTCTGAAAATGAAGAACTCTTAGGTGTTAGGGATTTTAAAATTCCTTGTTCTTGAATATTATGGACACTAACCTCCTTAAAATTCTCAAAATATACGTTATTCAAGCAAAGATAAGGAAAGGACAAAACCAAAGAAAAAAACCTAGAAATGCAGCTAGAGCTAAGAGAGGGAGAAGTCGGAACATACAAATGAAAACTCCTCAGTCGATTTCTAAACAAATTTCTTCTTTTGTAGCTGTCCGAAGAAATGTCTTATCCCTCCAAACTACAAAACACAAGGAAAACAGTAAACTGAATGATATGTCCCTATAGATTCATAAAAAACTTCCCGTGCCACAATCTGTTAAAAAACCCATCAGAGAGAGCCTGATGTCCCTTCTCATAATGTATCATTATGGTTAAACAGACAATCTCAATGCACGACATTAACTCTGATAAACACATAAAGTGATCATCTGAAATAAGTGTTAAAACTTCGTTTGTGTGGGACTAGACGCTTCAATGCATAATAATGCCTATGATGACAAACATAACATTCAATGATTGGTCTGCAGGTATGTTATTTACGCTGCATATACCGTGACCACAGCAATCACAGAGTGGAGCAGCGTTTTGTACTCCGTAATTTATACATCATTTCCAACCGTTATTGTGGGAGTTCTTGACAAAGATGTGAGCCATAAAACTTTGCTCAAATACCCTCGGCTCTATGGAGCAGGACAAAGAGGGGAGAGTTACAAATTCAAGCTCTTTTGCTGGACAATGGCAGATACATTGTGGCAAAGTGCAGTGGTTTTCTATATCCCTTACTTTACTTATAGAGTGAGTACGGTGGATATATCAATGCTTGGAGATCTTTGGACCCTTGCAGTGGTGATATTGGTTAACATCCACTTGGCCATGGATGTATTCAGGTGGTCATGGATAACGCATGCTGCTTTGTGGGGCACGATAGTAGCAACATGCATTTGCATCAGTGTCATTGATTCTGTACCTTATTTACCCGGCTATTGGTACTCTCTCTCCCTTTCTGCATCCGAATCTGTATTTGCATGCAAAGAGAATGCTAAACTTTTCTGTGTTGTATTTCAGGGCCATCTTCCATTTTGCAAATGCTGCATCTTTCTGGTTGGATTTGCTCTTCATCGTGGTGACAGCACTGATTCCTCGTTTTGTAGTTAAGATGTTTAAGCAGCATTTAAAACCCAGTGATATTCAAATTGGTAGGGAAGCTGAGAAGTTTAGGAATCCCAGTAACCAGCCTTCTCAAGTAACAGTTGAATTGCAACCTGTTGTGGATCCAGTGAGGAGATGATACCGTGAATTTGTTTTTCTTTGAGTGGCTTTTGTTTTTTGTGTATTTTATCCCGACTTTTACATGTATAGTGTCTTATTTTATTGTAAGCCATGGCGGCCATTTGGGTGCTGCTTGCTTCCCGTATACCTCTATCCACAAGGATTAGAGTTGTAATCCCTATTGGTGGGTTTAAGATGTGTAATTCCAATTCTTTTTGTTAATAAATCCAATTAAGTTTTGAAAATAACTTGTAATCTTCTTCCTGATCATTTGGTTGATCATTTGGTTTGTGTTAAGTTTGTATTTGGTGCTGGGGGGTGAGAAGTAACCGGGCTACATCTTGGTTTCTCATATAAATTCGAGCCTTGTGCGCCTTGGTTTAATAAGATCATTTCCTATATATTGAGGACAAGTGGTAGAGTAAGCCTCTTTGCATCCTGTGTAGGGGTGGCAACCGGTCGGGTATGGGTCGGATTCGGACTTGGAATATCACTTATGGACCTGTACCCGGACCCGGAATACCACTTATGGACTGGTACTGGACAGATCCAAAGAATCTAGACCCGTAATCGTACTAGGGATATGGAGACTTAGTAACTGGACCCGTACTTGGGACAAAAATGAGCAGAACTCCTTAGTTGCTGATCTTCCTCTTAGCATCAAGATGCCAAATAAAAAAGCATGAAATTAAATAAAAACTTGTCATTTTTGTTAATCCTCCATTGAGCATCAAGATGCAAAAAAGAATGCACAAAAATCAAATAAAAGCTTGTCATTTTTGCTGATCTTACAACGAGTATCAAGATGTAAAAATGCAATGCACAAAAATCAAATAAAAACTTGACATTTTTGCTTATCAAAATCCAGCTTGGAAGAGAAATTGGGTTTGGCAGGCCGAAGGCCGGAGGGGATGAGAGTGAGAGTTGGGTGTTTGCAAGGGACGAGAGAGAGAGAGAGTTGGGTTTTTACAGGGGAAGATACAGAGATAAAATGTAAATATGTGATTGAAGCTTCGAAGATCGAACAGACGCAAAGCTCGGCCGGCTAGGGTTTTCGAGGTCGAAACTTAGAATAGAGAGAGAAAGAGGGAGCTCAAAGCCTCAACGATTCAGCAAAACAGGCGCTGGTAGGGTTTGCGTTTGGAAAGGGAATTGGGTAGGATTTGGCCAAAAAAAACTTAAAACATGTTTGCCTAATTAGAGCTAAATTATAGTAAGTTCGGTTGTAGTTTAGTTAGATAATTACATTTTAAAATATATAATATGATTTTAATTGAATAATGAATTATTAATCTTTATATACTTAACATCCTAAATATAAACTAACGGATCCAAGTTAGTTACAGGGTGAGTCCAAAACCCATACCGGTACTCAAGTTTTTTGGTGTGCATTGTTGGACCCGGACCCTACCTGTGGGTCCAAAGATGGACCCATACACGGACTCAGTTCAAGTATACGTGCCGAGTTCTAGATTGGGTACGGATCCATGGCCAGCCCTAATCTTGGGACAAAACAGAATCATATGTTTGCATATGGGCAAATAATTGGATCAGCTCTACTTCATCATGTGCTCCCACTTTTCTTGGTTTTCCTGGACATGAACCCAAATTTTGAAGGACATGAACCCAAATTTTGAAGCATTAATCTTCTTGTTAAAAAGTTGCAAAAGCACAAGGCACACAAAGCAAGTCCACACCCTTCTCATAACAAATGGCCTGCTGAACTTCAATTTCGCAACCCCGTTCATGTGGAACACCCTGATCATGGCCTATTCCCAATCCACAGCACCTCACAAAACCTTCTCTCTCTACACCCAAATGCTCATCAATGACATTCACCCTAATAATCATACCTTTCCCTCTCTAATCAAGGCCTCCCCAACCCTTCTTTCTCTAAGAACCATCCATGGCCACATCATAAAGCATGGACTAGGTTTAGGTTTAGGGTTAGATGATTTCATTCAGAGCTCCCTAATACAATTTTATGGTGACCATTCCGAAATTGAGGATGCCCACAAGGTATTCAATGAAAATTTCGGACCTGACATAGCATCACGCAACACCATGCTAAATGCGTGCTTCAGGAATGCAGACATAGTCTCTGCTGAAAACATGTTCAACCAAATGCCTCACAGAGATGTGGTTTCTTGGACCACCATGGTTAATGGATTCACCAAGAACAAGCAATATAAGAAGGTCATGGACTTCTTTGGGCTAATGTTAGGCTCTAATGTTAGGCCTAATGAGGCCACATTGGTGAGTGTTCTATCAGCCATGGCCAACTTGTCTTGCCTAGATGAAGGACAAGCATGTCATGGCTATGTGGTTAGGAACCATCTTAATTTGAGTGCTAACATGGGAACAGCTTTGATAGACATGTATGCTAAATGTGGATGCATTAATGAAGCCATGCAAGTGTTTTCAATGGTGAATGTGAGAGAGAGAGGCATTTGTACATGGAATGCGGCCATCATGGCCTTAGCAACACATGGGCTCCTGGACCAAGCTCTAGAGCTTTATGAGCTCATGCAAAAAGCTAAGGTCCGACCCAATTCAGTCACGTTTGTGGGTGCATTATCGGCCTGTGCAAGAGGAGGACTTGTGGACAAAGGGCTTGAGATTTTTGGCTCAATGGGCCAGCTTCATGGCGTGCAACCAAGAATGGAGCACTATGGGTGCATGGTGAACCTACTCGGTCGAGCTGGGCTTATGGACCGGGCCCTTGAGTTGATTAAAGATATGCCCTTCGAGCCAGATTGTTCAGTGTGGGGTGCACTATTGGGTGCGTGTTCGGTCCAGGGGGATGTGGGGTTGGGTGAGGTTATAGGGCTCTGTGCAATAGAGGCACAGCCTATGCATTGCGGGCGGTATGTGATTTTGTCGAATATTTATGCAACAGCCGGTCGGTGGGCTGAGGCGGCAGAGATGAGAGAAATGATGGCAAAGAGAGGGATAAAAAAGGTGGTTGGATGGAGCCGGATTTGGCAAGTTGCATGAATCCCTGTATCTTGCACACATGGTGCAACTATATTAGTGTTTTAAAGATCACCAAACCATGTAGAAAAATTGGTCACAAGGTGCTTTGGGCAGCTGTGTAAAAACTGTGATGTAAATGTAGATTGGTACCTTTTGAATTTGAAGAATTTAAAATGTAACCCAATTTTAATGACAAGTTAAGTTGAATTTTGTTGTTAGGGGAAGCCAGGCATGGGTGAAGAGGTATCATATTTGTTACCACATGCACATGCAACACAAGTCCCATGGAGCAGTCTTTTCGATTTTACTAGCTGTACTGCAAACTTATCTCAGGCCTTGTTTTCGATCAGAAAAAAATAATTTTTATGAAATTTATTTCTTATGAAACAAATTTCCTATAAAATGGGTTTCCAGTGTTTGGATGCAAGTTGGAAGATATATTTCGGGGTTAAATACAGGAATTTGTAGAGAAAAATATAGTGGGGGTAGAAAGAAGGAAATCACTGGAACATGAGAGATGTAGAAAAATATTTATATGAATGGGGAGAGACACGAGAAACAAAATATAAGGATTTTTGGGAATAAGAAGAAAGAGATGGGAGAGAGAGAGAGATATGGGTAAGCAAGGAGGGAGAGAGAGAGATCGATTGCGTTTTTTGGTTTTGGTCCTGATAGCCGTATGCTTGTTTTATTATATTATTTTATTTATTTATTTTTTTTGCGTTCAGCTCCACAAAAAAAAGCAGACAGAGAAAAATTACTTCTTTTTAGTTTATGGGGAGAAACCCCAGAATTTGAAACCAGAACTTAGAAATGGGTAGTTTCTGTAGAAAATCATTTCCTGGTAATCTTTTTTTCCAAGGATCCAAAAATGAGTCATTTGGATTCCTAGAAAACGATTACCATAAAATGGTTTTATAGTGAGATTGCCTAGTTCTGCCATTTGGATCCAAAATTGTTTCTCCCAAAAGCTAGAAAATCAATTTTCCCATAAGATTTCTTTTCTTTGTCATACAAAAACTTAAAAGTAATGTTCGTAAAATCGAATTGGAACGGTTAATCGGACATAGGCCTGGAAGCGGTTTAACCGTCCTAAACGGTAAACCGGCCGATTCCACCGCTCTAACCGGGCAAGTCTTAGGCGGTCAAAAAGTGTTGAAAATATATAGGCGGTCAAAAAGTGTTGAATATATATATATATATATATATATATATATATAGCTACTAAAATATAAAAAGCATATAAAGAATGATTAAAACAAAACACATTCAAATGAAATTGAAAAATAATGAAAAAAATGGATTTTAACCTATCTTATATTTTTCAATGGCTATTTTTAAAATTTTATAAAAATGATGGAAAAATATAAAAGTGAGTATTAATGACCAAATTTTTTTTTGATCTTTACCATAATGTAAAGAATGTTTAAAAATGCATTACAAATCAAATTTTTTATTTTTGAGAATTTATATACATTTTTTATTTTTTTTATGTTTTTATTTTAAATACCGGTTGATCACCCTAAACGGCCAAAATCGGAACCGGACACTAGCCGGTTCCGATCTAATCGGGGGTCAGCGGTTAGATCGGGCGATTTTGTGAACAATGCTTAAAAAGGATTGTATAAAATGAGACAATTTACTTTTGATACAAGATAATCCAATTACTTACAATCATCCGATGTGAAGTTTGATAGTTTGGATGTGTCACAAAGTTCGAAAAAAATTGTTTTGAAGTTTGAGCTTGGTCAATTGAATAATTGCAGCCATCCAATTTCACATCTAATGGTCAAGATTAATGTCTCACCTTGTACATCCAATGTCAATGATATTGAACAACCACTTTATCTTTTTTTTTTTTTCCAGTGAAAGACTTTTAGATGCCTGAACCGTCAAAGTCTAGAAGTTCGAACTTGTCTTTCATGTTAAAAAATAAAAATTAAAAATAGACCACAATTTAGATATGGGTGCTGTTTGTATAGAGCGGAGGCACTAAACAATTAAATTAGAACCCACTTTCAAATATTGTCAAGAAATGTGGTTTCAATACTAAAAATCTTTGACTAGCCTTAAAATATATTTCATCTTTAATTATAAAATTTAAAGCTTAAAAAAGAGTGTAGATCGAGCAGGTATATGAAAACTTCAATAACTTAAAAATTGACAGTCCAAAAATGAGTTACAAGATGCACTATTTTCAAAGCTTGAAATCTGTTTTTTTTTCTCAAGTCCATACAACTTTATGTCGAGATGATCAATTTGAGGATATTTGGGCATCAAAACAACCTCTTCTAATGACATTTTTTGGATAGGCTCTAATTTGAGTGTTTAGAACCTAGGCTCTATATAAACTTTTTCCTTTAGATATTGGATGTCCAACAAAGATAATTAAAAAAAAACAATGAAACTTGATCACAAATAGATAATATAGGAGACTATTTTTTAATATCAAAAGTAAGTGAGTTTTTACTCGTCAAATTTCCCTCTCATTTTCTGTGTTTGTGTGCATTTGCACTTGGGTTTATCTTTATGAAACATTATTATTATTCAAATAAACCAATAAATTTCCTCATTGCTTTACATGCTTATGTTCTTTTTGCAAGTTCGGTGGGAATTAGATATGTTATTCTTGTTGGTCGTCACCACGTATTAAAGATTTCATGCATCTGCTGTTTGTTATTTATTTCCCCAACTGCTTTTCACATTTTTCGGAATTCTCTATTTTTCATATTTAAATGTTAATTTGTCATTTTTGCTTGTTTTTTTCTACTCTAGGTAAATATGAATCTTTGGAGCCTAAGCTATAACTTCGGGTAGGTTTTGATGATTCATTTGGCAGATTTAGATGATTTGGTGGTTAGGTTTTAGTTTCTTCATATGCAATCGGTCTACTTCTCTTATCACACCAATTGATCACATTAAGTGAATCTCTTTCCATTATATAACAACCCCAGTATTCCTCTCCGTCAACAGCTTCAAACCTTGCAATAAAGCACTGAACTCGGCCTTATTTGCCATAGAAATACCGCAAGGACCGGAAAAAAAAAACAATAAATGTCCATCTGAATTTCTCACTACACCACTAGCCAATCCCATATTTCCCAACACGCTTCCATCAAAGTTTCATTTGATGCAAACAGGCAATAGTGACTCCGTCTTCCTTTTGGCTTTGATACTGTTGAAACATTATTTGACAATATTTTTCAAATTCACCCCAACATCCACCATTGAGATCTCAACCGCCTACTTAGTTAATGAAAACCAGCACCACAAATTATTTAAAATTTTATCTTTGACACCTTAAAAAAAAATTCGTCTATTTATTTCCTTCTATATCCCCGATAACATAGCTACACTAAATATCTTTCAAATCAATTGGTCACATTTTGGCAGATCTAGCAATTCTCTGTGCACCAAATTGTTATTGTGTTCTCTTGGCAAAATCAATTGAATACCCACAAATTGGAATGCCTATTCCCAAATAATAGAAGTGAGAGAAATGTTGAAATAAATGATCCCCACTTTCTATGTTTTCTTTACAGAAAAGAATATATTCAATGAAATTTTCCCCCTCTTCATAAGATTATCAATAGCAAGCAATTTTCTTTGCTTGACATTCAAAAAAAGGCATAGATCTTTTGTGGAATGGGCATATTCTAAGTATGTTTCACCCTCGGATGCGTCCATCTACATCAATCATGGTACAAAATCCAAATGTTGATCATTCTCTTTTTCCTAGACCACATCATCTTCAAAATTCCGTGCAATATAAATGAAGTTCAAGTCTGCCACCAGATATGTAAGTTGTTCAATAATGACATCTGAGACCCTATTACGAGCAACATCCAAAACTTATTAGACCCACCTTTGCTAAATGATTCAAATTTTTTTGATAAATAACTATGGATAGTATGTCATCAATGGTCTATCTCCCAACCATTTATGATACCAAAGATTGATTTTGTCTCCCTTCTCTACAACCTATTAACATTCTTTGCATCTGTTGCCTTACAAACCCATATTCCTTTCCAAACATGAGAATCATCTGATGCCCTTTTCCCTTTGCTAATCATTCGAGAATTTCTAGCAATTCTATATTTTGGCACAATCACTTGCCTCCATAATTGACCTTCACATTGTAACGACTTCCACCACTGCTTTGCCATTAGAGCCTTATTAACAAGCTTCAATCTTCTAATACCCAGCTCCCAATCCCATTTTAGGAGCACAAACTCTATTCCAACTCACAAAGTGACATATTTTTTTTTTGCAAGGGAAATCCCTCATCAGTTGCTCAATCTCTTTACACACAACGCTTGACATCTGATAAAGGGGAAGGTTGGCCAATGAGGATTTAATCAAACTTATTTTGTCAACTAAAGAGAGGAACTTAGTCTTCTAAAGGTCAAGCTTGATTTAAAATCTCTTCATTATTGGATCTTATACCAATCTCAACAATCTTGAATCTGATATAGGCATTCCAAGGTATTTAATTGGGAAAAATTCTACATTGTACCCAGCTAAATACATAAGCTACCTTAGTTTGAACTAAACTAAACTCTAGTGTACTTACAACCTTCTTAAAATGACCTAAGCCCTCAAACCTTCCAATTTAGGTTAAGCCTTCTAAAATATGACGAAGCATACCAAATAAGCCTTAAGCTACCTAAAACTTTCCTAAATTTGTGCGAAACCCTAATGGCCCCATAACCCCTCAAACCCTAGTCTTAACTTTACTTAATCCTCTTAAACCCCATCTTGAAGGCCGTTATCCCACTAAGATGACCCAAAATGGCTACTTCAACATCCCAAAAAAGCTCCAATAGACACCATAGGATAGGTAGTGTGAAATTGTCGAAATGTTGAACGCATGGTTGTCTGCACTAAACCCTTTTAATGTGCAACAAAAACTTTGCCGCTAGCGGTAGGATCTATGTCGTAGATGATCAATGGCCTTGATTTTTCGGCTAATTGTTTGGAGCCATTACTATAGTCTTTGTCTATAAATAGGGACCCTCACC